ACTCGAGAATCGTTTTATAAAACTCGAGAAATCGTTTTATAAAACTCGAGAAATCGTTTTATAAAACTCGAGAAATCATTTTATAAAACTCGAGAATCATTTTTATAAAACTCGAGAAATCATTTTATAAAACTCGAAGATCGTTTTATAAAACTCAAAGATCGTTTTATAAAACTCGAAGATCGTTTTATAAAACTCGAAGGTCGTTTTATGAAATCCGAAGATCGTTTTATAAAACTCGAGAATCTTTTTACAAAACATTAAAAACCGCAAAAAACCGCAAAAAACCGAAAAAGCCATAAAACGCGAACTAGTCGCAACTAGTTCGCCGATGGGCGAACTAAGAAACACTCTCTAGTTCGCCCATCGGCGAACTAAGCCGATGGGCGAACTAGGACATGCCCGACTAGTTCGCCCATCGGCGAACTAAGAAGCACTCTCTAGTTCTCCCATCGGCGAACTAGAGACGTCCCGGACACTCCGCGTCTCGATTTCCCGCATTCCCGATTCGAAACTTACGTCTTTCGACAAAGTCGCGTTCTAAACCACGGCCAAAATATCTCCCATTCCATCTCGATCCGACTTACCGTTCGAGTTTTACGATAAAAACCGTAAAACTTCGTTTTCTCGGAAAGAACTCGAGGAAATCGAATAAAACGGCAACGGTTAAACGAAACACCGAACATTGCCTAAACTATACGATTTATTCGAGATTTCTCGTTGAAATCATAAAAATCGCGCTTTTAATAAAAAACGCCGAGTAAGTCGTAAAAAACTTGTTTTTAGTAAAAAGTCGAGTAAATCGTAAAACTTTGCGATTAACTCGAGAAATTTATTAAAAATGACGTCAGATCAGGAAACGATCCCGTAAAAGTCGGAAAACGGTTTTTATCGCAAAACGGCCCGGAAGGACCTAAAGCGCGATAAAAACCCATCTCGCGATTTCAACGGAATCAAACCCGCAGATTTGATAACGTTTTGACAGTTTACTCGCAGATGAAAAATAAAAGTCAAGTTTAAAGATAAAAGGAAAGGTTTGAAGAGAAATAGAAGATTTCCGCGAAAGAAAAGGAAGGATCGAGAAGAATGGAAAATTCCCGATTTAGTCAAATCTGGGCGAAATGGAAAGATAGGATAGCCAAGACGAGGAGTATATAAAGAGGAGGTCTAGGTCAGAAGCACACAGACGAAATTCAGAGCTCTCACCACCAAAACTAGCATTTAGGAATATTTCCGTTTTTCTTATAGCGAGCTGCGTCTCAATTAGGGTTTTCTAGTTCTTACGCTTTCGGCTACTCTTTTGTACCAGTTCAACGCAGATTCGGAATAAGAACCTTCTTGCTTTCAATCTCGCTTATTTTCGTTTTAATTCTAAGTATTTTCGTCATCTTAATCTTTGTTGTGCGGTTCTCGCAGATAGCCGGTTCCTCTGGAAACTTAGGGTTTTCCCGAAGTTTCCTTATTTACGATTTATTTGACAGTAGGGTGAAATCGACTCCCACACTCAACAAAACCCCTCACGAACGGTCTCAGGGGTCTCGAGCGTAGTGGCCAACTCGAGCTGAAAGCTCCGATCAATGCCATGAACCGAATATAAAGCTTCAAGGTCTTTAGACTTAGTCGTCGGAAGAGGAAAAGTGAATGTTACTTCCATCTCTACTAGAGAAAACAAAATCGCGCAAACAAGAAACTTCGAAGAAAAAGAAAGAAAATTCTGGTGAAAGAAAAGAAGTTAGAAAAAACAAGAAGAGACTCTTGTATATATAAGGCAATTCGCCGACATCAAGAAACGGCTTTATATTAACAAGAAGATAATGATTAGGTTTTGCAATGAAAATAGGATAAGTAGCCGTTAGGGACACATGCCAACAGGTCCATTGACAGGGAACGAACACGTGTCAAGTCTCTGCGCCGCGGAAGCTAAACCGCCTTCTACCGATTGAGTCAGAGCAAGCCATCTTAATCTTTTAGAAAAAGAATAAGATTAGGGGACAAATGTTGGACCCAATTTCGGCATCTATCTGAACAAGCCCAAGCCCATCTAGAATAATCACTAACTTGACATCGAGCCGGACTCTACGAGGTTGAAGACGAGATCCCGGAGATCGCGGAAAAGTTAGAGGAAGAAAGGACTATAAAATGAGAGCTAAAGTGAAGGAGAAGACACACGAGAAAAATCCTAGAGAAATTCACTAATCACATCGACCTCATTCTTTTAGATTTCTAGTTCGCTTTCTTCCACTTTTTTTTGTTATTTCCGATCTTGTTCATCACCTTGTAAACGAATTCCATATTCAATAAAAGTCAATTTTTGTCAACTGAAGTCCGATTATATCGTTGTGTTTAAGATCATCGTTGCCCACATCCTTTGTCTTCCCCTGACTGAACTCTTGATCTCTACAAAATACTGAGTGTGGATTTTAGGATCTACAGTCAGGAAATATGGACAACCCTTAGGACTGTGTATCAACTTTGACAATTTCTCTCTGCTCTTTGGCAAGAGAATCGGCGCAGATGTGAGACAACAAATCAAAGATACATTAGGGATACAAAATGAAGGAGAGATGGGAACTTACTTAGGTATACTAGAAGATATCAATGGTTCTAAATGAAAACTTTTTGCATTGCTTAAGGACAGACTAAGGGACATAGTAAATGGATGGACAGGCAGATGGCTTTCAAAGGGAGGGAAGGAAGTTCTGACTAAATACATTTTGCTAGCCCTTCCGACATATGTGATGGCATGCTTCTTGCGTCCACTGAATATTTTTGAAAACCTTACAAGTGCCATTGCACAGTTTTGGTGGAGTTCAAACCCACCAAAAAGAGGTGTTCATTGGGAAAAATGGGAGAAACTATGCTTACCGCGAGAGGATGGGGGGATAGGCTTACGCATGATACATGAGTTCAATTTGGTCTATACTAGAAAAACAACTATGGAGGCTAACCCAATTCCCCGATTCACTATTGGCACACGTTTCGAGAGAAAGATACTATAGAATGAGCTCGTCTTTGCGAACAATCTCTGTCAGTAGTCCATATATGTATGGACTAGCATCTCAGCAGTCAAAAGTCTTCTGCTTTTCAGAATCAGACATAATGTACAATCTGGTTATGAAGTCAAAGTGTGGGAGGACCCTTGGATCCCGACATCACCAGCCAAACCGGCCCATTCTACAGCTCTGATTTTGCATCCGAATATGAGAGTGAGTGACCTTATTAACCAGGAATCAAAGGAATGGGATGTGAGCCTACTGGACAATTATGTGTCAACGGATGATATACCTCTTATAACGAGTATGGCTATAAGCTCAACGCATAGTCGAGATACTCACTGCTAGAATTACACTAAGAATGGTCAAATACACTATTAAATCTGGATACTAGGTTGCTCGAAACCTATTGAAGGCTGAGGAAAAGAGGGAGATAAGAGAGCAAAGTATAACTAAGCTTCAAGCCTTTGTTTAGAAAGTAAAAGCGCCTCAGAAGTTACACCATCTTATGTGGCAACTGCTATCTAGTCATGTGGCTGTTACACAAAATTTGAATCATAGAAATTTTGATGTGATAATTATTGTCCAAGATGTGGGGAGCCAGAGGAAACAGTTTTGCATGCCATCTTTGAATGCCCTCATGCTTTGCAAGTTTGGGCAAACTCGACAACACCATCTAGTCCTAATATCTTTTTGAAAGGAAGCATTTTTGTCGATATGAATTATCTTTTCTGGAAGAAGAACAATATTGTCGAACCAGAGTTAGACAGAGATCCTTATCCTTGGATAATCTGGTATATTTGGAAGCTCGAAATGATAAATTATTCAGAGGGATTAACAGGGATCCTTTGGAATTAGTCCGATATTCGGAAAGTGAATGCCTGGCTTAGCATAACGCAAATGAGATGGTCTCCCCTGATCCACAAGAGCACAGTAGCAATGAGCTTCAGGTCATAAGCGTGAATAATATATGTATGGTGGATGGATTATGGACCTCCATGGTTCAATTTAGTGGATATGGTTAGGTGTGGATGGATAATCTTGGGAAACGTTAGCTGATGGATAGCTGACACTTAAGGAGGACAGAGACCACGTTGCACTCGGAATTAGAAGCACTGCGATGGGCAATGGAGCACATGCTTCAACATTCGTTATGTTAGCGTTTTGGGACATATTCCAAGGAATTGATCGCAATGATAAAAGATCCTGGAGCTTGGCCGAGTTTTGCAACAAAACTAGAGACAATCAAGACTTTCTCATATGCTTTCCAGCCTTCGAGATATTTCATATCCCAAGAGCCTAAACGAAATTTCAGACGCTTTAATTAAGAATGCGAGATTTTTTCATAGAGAACTCTATTTTGTTGGTTGTTGTATTTCCGTCTAGATACCCAGACCATCTTAAATTTGAATAATATAATAGTCGTCTGATGAAAAAAAAAGTACATATAGAACGTTTTCCATAGTATTTTATTAGACATTTTTAGTTGGAACATATTCAATTTACTTAGTATAAGAAATTACTTTCAAATCAGAACTTTAATAGGCTAATTCCAAACTTCTAAAGTTATGGTTTAAAACAAAATGAACACCCATTTTGAAAAGAAAATATATAATAAAACACAAACTGCAGATGTTGAATTCGTAATCTTTTTATATTAGAGATTCAGTTATCATTAATGTTTTATTGTCTTATGCTTGTAGAGTTTTGAACAACTCTATTTTTAATTGTAGTTCAAATGTTTAAAGTTTGTTAAGGAAAGTGGTGTTTAAAAAAAAAACACCAAATAAGTCAAATCGAGTCTAAGCCAAATTCGAACCTATATGTTCCAATACAAAACCGACCTAGACAAAAAAGAAGAAAAGAGTTGAAAGAAATGCGGAGACGCATCTGCTGTTTTCTCGTGAGCACGAGCTTATCGTGTTCTCTCTCGCTTGAAGATGAAGTTGAGCAACCAAAATTTTCATCTACCGAGAAAACACATCAGATTCTCCAGTTTTCTGGTCAATGGCGCTTACCACAGTTCGCATTACAGATGGAATCTGTCCCATCTTCTCCTCAGGCTCGAGACGAGCTCACAACCTCCATTTTTCCCACCTGAAGTCAACCCAAAGATTGACCTCCGTCGCGACTGGACGCCGCCGGTACAGAGCGAAAGTAACTGCGACGGTAAATCCTTATTCGAACACGGAGGCGGCACGGCCCGAGGAGAGGAAGAGTTTGAGGGATTTTCTGGCGGAAGCTGAGAATTTTTTGATATCAGACGGCGGAGACGGAGGTCCGCCTCGGTGGTTCTCTCCATTAGAGTGTAGCTCACGCGCTCCAGGATCTCCTCTTCTCCTCTATATACCTGGTTCGTACTTTTAATATTGATTTTGAAGAAAACGTGTTCCTCAAGTAAACGAAACTAAGAACTCAAAACTACAGGGATCGATGGTACTGGATTAGGGCTCATCCGTCAGCATAGGAGACTTGGAGAGTAAGTAATCACTGATTCTAACTTACAATTCAGTTTCTTTCTAATTTTATTGTCTTTTGATCATATATAGGATATTCGACGTATGGTGCCTTCACTTTCCAGCCACGGATCGTACACCTGCTCGAGGTGCCTTCTTATCTGTTGTTTCATTTCACCGTTATACAACCAAATGGATTATTAATCTTGTTTTATGTAAATTTTCAGACATTGTGAAACTCATTGAGAGGAAAGTTAGGTCAGAGTACTACCGTGTCCCAAACAGACCCATTTATATAGTTGGAGAATCTCTTGGAGCTTGTCTTGCTCTAGATGTTGCAGCAAGTAACCCGGACATTGATATTGTCTTGATTCTTGCTAATCCAGGTGCAAAAATGAGAGTACTGGCTTTATCTTGATTCACTTGTCTTGTGCTCATAATAGACAGTACTCTTTGATGCAGTCACACGCTTAAACAACTTCATGTTGCAACCTTTATCGAGTCTACTGGAATCATTGCCAGACGAAGTTCCTAGCTTGATAAAAGAGAATTTTGGGTTTAGAGAAGGTGAATTCTCAACTCCATGGGTGTAAAGATGAAACAGACTAGAGGCTTCAGTGTCAGGTTTTGCTTGAAATATAGGACTAACTGTGTTTTATTGTATAGGTTATCCCTTTGCAGCAATGTTTGAGAGTATGTTGAATGAAACTATGGCGCAGATGGGTGGAGGGCTCCTAGAAGATCTCTTTGCCGCCTCAGCTAATCTGCCTGTAGGATTACACTTTAAGAGAACAAATCATATATTGCATTTGTTTAGTCTTGCAGATCTTAGTAATATGCTCTTGTTAAGGATAATAAACTCATGAAAACAAATGATTTACAGACTCTGACTAAGATCTTTCCTAAGGACACACTTCTATGGAAGCTTCAACTGCTTAAGTCTGCTTCAGCATCTGCTAAGTCCAAAATGTACACTGTCAAAGCCCAAACACTAATACTTCTGAGGTTCAAAAACTTCTTAACTTCTCAGTTTCCATTATTAGTTATAAGTAGGAGTTTGTTTGTAAAGGATTTGTATTTTCTGGAACCTGAGTTGTAGTGGACGTGATCAATGGTTACTGCACAGAGAAGACATTGAAAGGCTCCGTTTTGCAATGCCAAAATGTGAAGTCCGTGAGTTTTATAATAATGGACAGTTCCTCTTCTTGGTAAGGTGCTCCTTATAACGATATATCATCAAGATTGTGTTTAATTTACTAATCTACGGCTCAATTGATCTAATATATGTTAGGAGGATGGTGTAGATCTTGCAACTATCATCAAGATTTCCTACTATTATCGCCGTGGGAAGATACTTGATTACATTTCAGATTACACGCTTCCTACTCCCTTTGAGCTCAAAGAGTTTGAACAATCACAAAGGTAAGTACTCAGTGCCGGTCTTAGACAAAGCCGGATGAAACATCCGCCTTTGACCCCCAAATTTGTATAACAAATTTTTTATAAAATCCTTTACTAAATCGCCTACAGCCCTAAAATCTCAGGGCTAGTCCTGTAAGTATTTCATCAGAGTTATGCTACTGTAAGCAAAGACTGAGTGTTATGTTTCTCTGTCTCAGATTGCTAACAGCTGCAACTGATCCAGTGTTTCTGTCAACGCTAGAAAACGGTACGATAGTAAGATCACTTGCAGGAATACCTTCAGAGGGACCGGTTCTGTATGTTGGCAATCACATGTTGTTTGGTCTAGAACTGCGTCCAGCAGCGATTCATTTCCTGAAAGAGAGAAACATTCTGTTGCGTGGCCTTGCACATCCAGTGATGTTCACCAAAAAGATAGGCTCAAAGCTCCCTGACATGCAGATGTTCGACTCAGCTAGGATAATAGGCGCAGTTCCTGTCTCGAATATGAACTTCTACAAGCTGCTTCGTTCAAAGGCTCATGTGGTTTTGTATCCTGGAGGTGTCCGTGAAGCCTTGCACAGAAAGGTAAGGAATGGATTCTCCATGTTTGGGTTTTTGAGAGGCTATAATGACATAGTTTCCCTTCAGGATGAAGAATACAAGTTGTTTTGGCCTGAACATTCAGAGTTTGTAAGGATTGCATCTAAATTTGGAGCAAGAATCATTCCTTTTGGTGCTGTTGGAGAAGATGATCTCATTCAAGTAAGCACAAATCTATTATTCGTTCTAGGTTTTTGTTTTCAGTCAGTAAACTTTGTTGAGCAATGGAATGAATGAAATCTCAGATGGTTTTGGATTACAATGATCAAATGAAGATCCCTTTCTTGAAGAATCTCATAGAAGAGATAACACATGACACTATTAAGCTGAGGTATTTATTTTATATATATTCCATCACTTATTCAAGATTGTATATATATAAATAACATGTGATTGTGAACTTCTGGAATATGATTAGGAACGATGAAGAAGGGGAAGTGAGGAACCAAGATTTGCATATGCCTGGAATCATTCCAAAGATTCCGGGACGGTATTACGTATATTTTGGGAAACCGATAGAAACAAAAGGTAGAGAGAAAGAGCTAATTGATAAAGAGAAAGCTCATGAGGTTTACTTGGAGGTCAAGTCTGAAGTTGAAAGATGTATGACCTATTTGAAGACCAAAAGAGAAACTGATCCTTACAGAAACATATTGCCAAGGCTGCTTTATTACCTCTCACATGGTTTCTCTTCTCAAGTCCCAACCTTTGATCTCCCTAATCATTAAAATTTAGCTACTAAATATGTTTTAAATTTTCAAAATTACATCTTCTATATATATACTAACTAATGAGAAATAAGTGTTGTTTTAAACTAAAAATTTAGTTTGGTATGCTTTACAGTGAATACCACTACGACTTCTTTGATAACTATGATTTAAATAAGAGTGTTTCTGTAGACATGAAATTTTTCATAAAACAAAAAATTCTTATACCTTCCTTAAATTATGGTAAGGTTATCAAAGGTTTAGAATTGACTCATATTTTAGTACTCCCTCTAATTCTAAATAAGTGTCACTTTAGCCTTTTAATTTTGTTTCAAAAAAATGTCATTCTACAATCCCAATGTAATTTTGTACATTAAATCTATTTTTTACCCTTTTGAATAACCAATAGTATTTAACTTAAATTATTTCCATTTAATTAAACATACATTAAATAGGGATATATTATTCTATTATACAATTTTCTTAATTTATGTGCAAAGAGTCAAAATGACACTTATTTAAAAACAGAGGGAGTAACTTCTAAAATTTTTAATAAAATCTAATATATGCTGAAAAGCTTTTCCTAATATTTTAATAACATTTACTATACGCTGAAATTTTTAGTATTAAATGAAACAAAAAAATTTATATAGCTTCATCAGCAGCTAGTTTCTGCTGAACTTTGGAAGCACAACCTTTAGGAGGAGGGAGACGATGGTCCCGTGGCTCGCAAGAAATTTATTGCTATGGCTGTGGTTATAGTCAAGGGATTTTTTTCGGGATCAATAGATAAGAGATTATTTACCCTTTTATTGACAAAAAAAAAACAAAAGAAGAGAAGAGATTATTCTTTATTTTATTTTATCTGCAAAATTCTCTTATTTGTTTCCTTCTGACAAAAGGAGACAAAAATGTCGTGCAACTTTTGAATGGGAGTTTCAATTGGTCACGTCGAAGTATCTTGGATTCTCTGGGTAATGATACTCCACATTCAACTGTAATTACAAATGCAAAATCAGCGTTTGCATTTGTGTAGATATGTCCTTAAGAAAAACGGTTACCAAAAGAGTCTTTCTAAGCATACCTTTCCTTCGTCAGAATCAGTGTGCCGTTGAGGAAACACGACTCTCAAGTCATTGTACAAATAGAATCTCCTCTCTTCATCATCCAAGCTTTTCTTCTGACCTAATTTAGAAGCTTTCTTACGGGAAGGGCAAAGAAATTTAAGATGAAGAGCGTAGCGTAAGACTCCAGACTTTGAACAGCATTGCCCTGTTTCTCTGTAAGTCTCACGGCACTTCGTGTTCTCACACTCAGGTAGGGAATGAAATCCATCTACCAAATGAGATTTGGCTTTGGTCGGAACAGAGGAGGCCAGAGTAACCTTTTGCCGCAGGAAAGTCTGATCATCACAAGTTCACAACACAAGAACTGATCAAACATATGGCCAACAAAAATGAAGCAAAAGCAATCTGAAACCTAAAACGAGATAACAAATAAGTGAAGCAACGGGATGAAATGTTCGAGGTTACCTTTGTACCGTGTGGCATATCAGTTAAGTCATAGTTACAGAGAAACGTATGAAGAGGTGTCTTTTCAGGATTGCTTAAAACCTGCAACAAGACGGAGAAGTTTCACTCATGATTAGTCATCAAACATTAATCCATTATTAAGAGAAAAAGAGAGACAAGAAGGGTACCAGTTGAATCCGACCCTTTATAGGGATCCGCAACCGGCTGTTAATGGTCTGAGAATCAGAGTTATCCTGGTTCTTTTTTAATTTATGTGACGAAGATCCACCAGAGAGATCTATGGAGGCATAGTATAATAAGAAGCAATCATCACCAACACTTGTTACTGAGAAAGGAAGCTTCTGTGCTTTTGGAGAGATGTTTCCACCAGCAATACTAAGAATGGCAAGAAACCCATCGATCTGATTAGTTTGCCCATATGAATATCTTCCTGACAGGAGTGACTCCTCAAAAGAACCAATCAACGATCTTTGAATTGAACGCCCACTCAAGCTTCTACCGAACCTTTTACATGGAGATGTATTAGCAACTGATTCGATACCTCTCTCCATTGAAAAGGCTCTCTGTATAGTATTAGCATCATCAAACAAAGTATGATGACGGGTCCTGAGTTCAGCTTCTTCACCTGTATTCCTTGGGCTTAAACAGACGCCATCGTCAAAAATCTTCCCATTTTGTAAAGCTTTCATTCTCTCAGAAAATCTCGGGCCAAGAGGTGACAGAGAAAGTGTAGACGAGACAGATATATTTTTATGGCATGGTAACGGCTTAGCGGGTACTTGATCATTGGAATCAAGCAGTGGACCGTCCGTGAAAGCATTAGATGAAAGTTTACTACTCCTGTGGGACGAGAGATGTGATCTCCCAGAGATATTGGCCTTTTTGTGATCAGAAAGACCAGCAGACGTCACGTGTTGGTGGATATCGAGCTGGTCGCCTCTAAACTTCTCGGGGAAAAGCGTGCTCAAAGGAGAGCTTACTCGTTTCCTGACTAACGACGACCCACCACCAGTTATATCTACTTGATGCGATCCGCTAACATGTTCATTACTCGACGAGCTAGTTTCATTAGACTCGAAACCAACTATCCTTCTAACTTCATTTCGACTCCAATGAACCTTATCCGTTGAGGAGCAGAGGCTTCCTTCACCATCTCTTTTCACAGGAAGGCTTTGAGAAAAAGTGAAACTTGAAGAAGAGGAGAAAGCTTCCTGAGCTTCCTCATCTGAAACAGTCTGTGGAATACCCATAACTAAGCACTGCCTCACTCTCCTCAACCTTCAAAGACTTTCAGTTTTTTTTTTATCACAAGGTAAAGCCAAGTACCAATTCGATCCAAATACTAAATAATGTAGAACTAAGAATCCGTCAATTAAGCAACTTAGATAAGACACTTAGAAACTTATGTGACAAATGAATCCTAATATAGCATTGTGAAGCAACATATATATATATATATATATATATATTGAGGATAGATAGAGACTCTATGGAGTTGATAGCTGTCACACTCTCCTGAAATGAACAAAAATTGGAGAAGGAGTTAACTACATATCCACCTTTATTCCAAAAAAAAAAACTATTCTCTAGCAGAGTCTTGAGATGAATCACTACCAGACACAGATTGATCAATGAACATTACTGATATAAACCTGAAACACACAAAATTTCAAGAGATGGTATTGAGAAGCACCCAGAGAGACATTGATCACTAAGCAAGCACACAGTGTATTAGAACAATAACAATATCTATTATTCAAAACAAACCAACCAACCCACAAGGATCTTTCAGCTCACCAAAAGGTTTCGAAGAAGAAAACATCAAATAAACCGATCAATACAATGAAAGAGAAATTTATCATCATCAAAAAAGAATGGATGATCGTAAGCAAACGCACCGCACCGCACCGATGAAGGAATAGAAACGAAATCCAAAAATCGGCGATCAGTCACGGAACAATGTAGAAGATGATGAATGAGACGTTTTTTCTTCTCTTGATCTCTCTTTCGTCGTGCTTATAAACAAAGCCCCAACATCGTCGCATCACCATTTCCATCGCTCTCCCCCTTTTTTCTATTTTCCTTTTCTTTTTTTCCTTTTAATTTTATTTTCTGAAAACTCTAGTGTGTGTACAACCATTTCGCCTAATTATCGTTTTTTTGTTTGTTTTGCTAACGGCATAATCAATTCTATTAAAACGTTATTCCTTTTCAGTCTCACGCAACTCACACATCACCGTCTCATAATGTAACAGCACTATTTAACGCAAAATTAGGCACCGTACTGTCATTTTCAATTGTCAATTATTTTAAATAGACATTTTTAAATTTTTAACGTAAAAATAGATTTTTAAAATTAAAAATGACCAAAATAATATTTTTATTTTGAAAATGTTAAAAAAAAAATTTAAAATTATGTCCCCAAAATCTCACTTTTCAACTATAAACAAAAAATATAGGATTAGTTAACTAAAGTATATAGAGAATATTGCCAAAAATGGACAAATACCAAAACTATTACCTCTTTAGAATTTAATTCAGAATCTTTGTCTCTATAGTATAAACAATTATGAGCACCTACTTTGTCATTTTCTTGTATATTTTCTTATTAATTTAATTTAAAAGAAAAATTAAAAACATCAGAAAATGAAAAAAAAAAAAAACCACAAGATAAGTAAAAAAATTAATCCTTAGACTAACAAAAGAAAATAGAAGAAGTTAAAAACACTAACCCATAGCTCAAAACAGAAAAACCTCAGCTCCCGACTGTTTGTCTCAATCGGAGAAGAAAAAGGCAATTTGCTTTTCGCCGAAACCCCTTTTCGGTTTCTTTCGCCGGAGAGCTCAGAACAATCATCACATCTCTCTGTCATCCTCCTATCGTCTTTAATTTCTGTCGATTTTACTCGTCTCATAACTTCCCGGCGTCGTTATTAGAGTTGTCTAACCTCCAAAGTAGGTTCTTTTCTCGGAAAAGCACAATTAGCTTCACATTATCCCTCTTTTGCTCTTCCTTCATTTCAGTTCCCAAAACTCGAAGATTAGAATTTTGAAATCCCCTTTATGGATCTTGTTTTTATTTATGTGTATGTCGGAGAAATAGATTGACTTGCTTAAGAACTTTGGTTGTTTTGAAATCTCCTTTATGTGAATTTGGTTTCTCGGTTCCCAAAACTTTGGTTGTTGAGATGATTTTGAGTTATATTTTGTTTGATATTGTATTCGTATTATGTTTTAATTTCGTAATAGACTTGAAAATGCTAATGAGTTGTTCATGTAAAAGAGATCGATTTTACATGATGTTTCGGATCAAACCGTAAACAAAACTTTGGTTGTTGAGTTGATTTTGAGTTATATTTTGTTTGGTATCAGTTTTGTATTATGTTTTGAGTTTGTAATAGACTTGAAAAGGCTGAGTTCGATATTTGTAGTAGAATTTTTTGATTCTTTTGTTTGCGATTGCACATTTAAAGTCGATCATATTAGATACTGGGAGACACTCGTTTAGTTATGTAAAGGCTAATGAGTTGAAGTTTTTAATTTCATGTTTTGTAGGAATGGATTACCAGTTTCCAAAGTGCATTCTTGAAGAAGGAGCTGAGATCTAAATTGATAAGATCAACAACACATTTGGTTCAATTCTGGCAATTGTAGACAACAAGCTAATTTACTCTGGGAAGATTATTCACAGCTTCATATGCAAGAAACTCGAGGTTTCCAAGCTTCATGAGTTGTGGTTTGAATTTGCAAATAGGCCTCTTAGCTCTCCATGCAAGAATTTCATGATGTCACTAGATTGAAGTTCAAAGAAGAACCATACATAGAATTCAATGATTGGAACAATGATAAGGGTTTCTGGAGCAAGGCGCTGAGACAAAATTCATATATCAACTTATACACCATAAGGGATGAGCTCCTTAAAGTGTGTAACAAGTGGACATGGTGAGGTTAGTGTATATGTGTATTATTCATGGATTCATCGTGGCTAAGGATCCGAAAGTGTATATCCCTCAAGAATGCATCCGTTTGGTGATGGATTTTGAGAAAATGAGAATGTATCTTTGGGGTCTTCACGCATATGACGAGCTGATTTCATCCATATTAAAGGCAAGGACATATTTTCATCTGAAGAACATTTACATTTTGGATGGGTTCTCATATGCGTTTCAGATATGGATTATGGAGGCAATCCCATACATTGGTACTATGGTGGCTAAAAAGATAAAAAACAAAAAAAAACATTGTGAAAGTGAGGTGTAGAAATTGGACAGGAAGTGGAAAAGTATCTTATCAAGATATCATCAGCCTAGAATCTCACTTTGACAAGGTAAATATGTTGCTTCTGTTAATGTGGAGTTCAAAATTCTCTCTGTGAAGCTTATTGTTTCGTTTTTTAACGCCAGGGAGAGGTGTTCCCAGTGTTCCCATTTCTATCATCTACTGGGAACTCGTCTGTGATTGATGATCCTGAGTTCAAAAGGGAAGATGAAAAGAAGGATGAAAGAGTTGATCGGATTTTTGCTATGATTAAAGCCAATCATGACTGGAAGAAATTCGTTTGGGAAGTTGAGCCTTTGCCAAGAAGTACGGTCTTTTCTGAATCAGAAAATGATGTAAAAGACGAAGATGTCAGGGAACCGCCTGTTTTTGCAGAGAAACCGACAGTTGAAGCCAAGAAGGAGAAGCGTAAGCTAAATGATCCTGGTGCTGAGTCTCGAAAGAAACAACTACTTTGTCAACAGGCATCTGAACATAACACTGGTGTCTCTGGTGAAATGAAGTCCTTTATTGAGGGTATGTTCACCTCTTTCAAGGAGATGATGCAGAAGGACCTCCAAGAGTGTTTTGACAAGGTCGGCACTGAGGTGGCTCATATTAAAGAAAAAGTGTCTCAGATTACATGTCCTTCAGATACAGTGGGGAAAAGCAAAGCAGATGAGATTCCGACTCCTTCAGGATCACTTGGGAATGATCAAGAAACATCATCACAGAGTCCGGGTCCTTCAGCAACACTTGGGAAAGATCAAGCCAAATCATCTCAGAGTCCATGTCCTTCAGCAAGAAAAGGAAGAGGCAATGCAGCTGAGAGTGTGAATCCTCATCCGCTTCGTCGTAGTCCTTGAATAGTAAGAAAGGTAAACCACAACTTGAAGCTTTGTAAGATTATGTGTTGGTTGACTATTTCAAGTATTTGGTAAGCTATGTTGGACAAAATATCTCTTAATGTAAGTTTTTGTGTCGTTTGTAATGTCCTTGTATTGTGCTTATCAGCTTGTAATGTGATTTGGTAATGTACTTTTCTCTGCATTATAAGAATGTTGTCTCTTTTTTTCTATTAAAGTTATGGTTGGTTTTATTAACATGATGACAGTGAAAGGTTGGAGTTTTTGAAGAATCTTACAAAGAAACATGTAGATAAGGGGACCCAAGAGTCTTTAAAAAACGCCATAGAAAATCTTTCTCAAGCATCACATGTTAAAGGTTCCGATCCATCACAAAGTCTCAATGACGACGAACCACCGGAATGGGTTACTCCATTATCTACATTTAAGCTTACAGATTGGATACACTACAAGAAAACAGGTGTCTAACGACTACAGTATTGGTTGTTAATTGGTCGTAATATGCCTTTTACGACCAATTAACATCGAAAACCCATTGGTCATTATTCGCTAGTCGTAATGCACAATTAGTCGTAACGTAGTCGTAATATTACGTCCACAGACCGTAGTCGTAACGTAGTCGTAATATTACGACTAAGGCATTAGTCGTAATATTGAGGTGACATATGTAGTCGTAACGTAGTCGTAAAACGTTTCGTAGTTAATTCGACGTAATACAATTAGTAGTTAATGAGTCGTAATAATAGTAGTCGTAAAGCAAACGTAAATATTGGTAGTTACTTAGTCGTAATATTACAACTAAGTAACTTCGACTGTTGTTGTCCATTAGTCGTAAATTAAAGACTAATTTACGATTAATGTTGATTTTATTTTTAAATAAAATCTTTTATTTGATTTTTTTTATTTGAATTTTTTTTATTTGAATTTTTTTAGTTCGTTTTTTTAAAAATTAATAAACTTTAAAAAATATATATATATAATTATATTTGATTAAAATAATATATAAAGTATTCATACAAAAAACCGAAAAAAACTAAGGTGTTTTGTTGAGGTTCATGTCTTGGAAGAACTCGGAAGTGTGCTGCTCCGCACGTCGATCAATATCCACTTGCTCTTCCGGAGTGGGGTCAGGGTTAAAGCTCGGACGTAGAGCTTGCCATGCATTTGCAACCGTTGGGTTTGGGTTCGAGGTCTCCATCATAAGATCGAACATATTCGCCATAGCCTTGAACTTGTCTTTATGCTCGTCTATGACTTTGTTGGCAGCTGCTAGTTCCCATCGAAAAGAGGAATCTTCTTCTATTCTTGCTGCATTTTCGGCCCTTGCCCTCGGGACATCGTTCACAGTCTCGATCCCAACAATACGTCCCCTTTTCTTCGGAGAAACCTACAAAAGATCAAATTTTATTTACTAATTATATTTATATAATTAAGTAAAAATGTGAAAATTTAATAAAAAATTAAAAATGTTAATAAAGTTAAAAATTAAAATGATTTACCTGCTCGAAAATCTTGTCTTGGTCGATGGTTGAAAGCTGGACAGGTGGAGCATCCGGATTTTGTTGCGACATCTGAGTCTGGACCTCTTGATCCGATCCTCTACCTCGTTGTAGATCTTCTCTGCTTGAGGATGCACAAAATTCCCATCTGAACGCTGGTGGGTAATCTTGTATAGCCGAGCGAGAGATGGTGGCGCTCATTCTTTGGCGGCCTATATAAAAAAAAATTAATTTAAAATTTGCATAAAAAAAAAACCAAGAATAATCAAACAATTGCAATTTCAGGTGTCCTCCCAGCATGTGGAGTCTGCCCGGAAGTATGAGGAACTGGCGGGTTACCTTGAGCATCCTTGGTCAACCGGACCGCAGAGTACTTGGTAGACTTCGCCCTTGACTCAGGCTTCATCCAAAAAGCCACCAAACCAACCCAAACGTCATTGCTGAGGTAGGTTGGTTTTGCGTCATCCTGTCTTAGCCTCCAGTCGTCCTTCCAATCTCCAACAATGTTCTTGAGGCGCTGCATCGCCTTTTTGTAGAACCCAGATTTGACATCCTCGTTAACACCAATGGACCAATTCCATTTTTGCTACAAAAAAATTATGAAAAATTAAAAAACATTAGTACTTTATATATACTATCAATGCATGAATTAATTTTTTAAAAAAATGGAGAAACTAACCGCGAAACACTTGAACCACGTAATGCGAACGTGGTCCGGTGTAAGAGTCCAGTTGGGGTGGGCCTGCCGAAAATTTTCCCGAATGATATCCCCAACGCTCTGTCCAAAAACATTGTCCGTCAAAAACCTACAAAAGTTGAAAGAATTTATATATTTATTAAATAAAATAATTTAGAATAATTACCAAACGTGCCGGGGCGTCGATCCGGATCGACGATTCGTAAACCTTCTCGGCCCGGCATCCCGAGAATATCTTCCACCGTATATCTCGCATATGGTGCATTCGGCGGCACCATCAAATCTGGATGAAGACCGGGAGCCGGATCAGGATTTTGTTGCGGGTTCTGGGCATGTTGCGGATTCTGGGGAGCCGGATAAGGATTTTGTTGCGGGTTTTGGGCATGTTGCGGGTTCTGAGGAGCCGGATAAGGATTTTGTGGCAGGTTCTGGGGAGGTGGAGGGACATACTCAGGTTCCGGCTCATAAGTGAAGAAATCCGTATCATTCTCAATGCGCAGATAATACGGAGGGACATACTGCTCCTGAGTAGTATGTGTCGGTTGGGTCTCCGGAACCGGGTCAGGGCCGGATGAGGTGCCGCCGGACGATGTGCCAGCCGAGGTATATGATTGACCGAGAAAAGTACTCCCGTAGGAGTTTCTAGCCGCGAGGTTCCGGATTCTCTTTCTACCAGACATAGCGCAATGTATATATCTGAAATTTATAAAAAACATAAACGGGTTAAATTAAACAATTCAAATAAATCTAATTCCAATCCTAAACTAATTCCAAACCTAAACTAATTCCAAACTTAAACTAATTACCTAACTAACCACCTAAAAAAAAATTACCTATAGAGTGTTGAGTAGTTGTTAGAGAGAAGGGAATGAGCAACTGAAATGCTTCCGCGAGGTCCCTATATATATATATATACAGTTTTGAGCTTGGTCGTACATTAGTCGTAACTATACGACTAATGTACGACCAATAGTCATAAAATAGTCGTAATATTACGACTAATGGACGACCAAGAGGTATTACGACTACATTACGACTACGCGTTACGACGACACTATGACTAATGTGTGTCCATCTGTATATTACGACCAAATAGGGTTGAAACATTACGACTACGTTACAACAATTAGTTGTGACTTAGACGTAATATTACGAGTATTTAGACTCCAATGATTTATTAGTCGTAATGTAGTCGTCTAAATCCTAAACCCTAAACACTAAACCCTAAACCAAAAACCACAAACGTAAACCCTAAACCCCAAACCACAAACCTCCAACCCCCAAACCCCAATTACCACAAACCGCAAACACATATCAAATCTCGAAACTCCAAAAAAAGTTTCATAATGCAAACATAATTAAGATATCGAGTTATTATGCAGATCATAATTTTATAATGCATACATAATGTATTTCATAACGAAATCAAATACAACTGACGGTAGAGTACATAATCAAACACACTTAATCATCACTCGTCCTCAGAAACATTTTCCACCTCATCATTTTCTTCAAATTCATCTTCGTTGGCTTCGTCCAAAATCGCATCGTCTGGAAGTTCTTCATATATCGGATTATGCGGATCAACAAGTAAGATATCATCAATACGTTGCTCAGGTACTTCTACTTCATTTACGACATCTTCTTGTAAAGGCGGTTGTTCATCGTTCAATACTCGGCCCC